CCCCGGGCTCAGGCCCATAGCAGGAGGAGGGTTTTGCCAAGCTTGAAGGCTGAGTGACCCTTCCAAATTAGTGATGGGCAATTATCTGGCCAGTCTCGCCATTTCCAGGAGGCTTTTCGATGAATTGATTTGAGCCGTACTCATCCCGAGGTCGCTTGCGAGATATCGTGTGTGATTGTTCCCACGATTTCTAAACCTTTGCGGCATTGGCCAATAGCTGCATCTAGGATAATAGCAGGGTTTCCAATTGTGAGAAAAAGGCGAAGGTCCAAACTATGAGGCTCCAAGACGGAGTTAAGGAAAGTGCGAATTGAGCAATGACGTTATCAAGGAATTTGACAATAAAATCAATATATAAATCCTTTTATAACATCGAGCCCGTTGCTTCTGATATTTTATACGCATTGGAGACATAATTCAAGATTATTCGAGCGCTTAACACCATCGCTGGCATCGCAATATCGAAATAGTTAGTTACATACTCTGCTCCGTAGTTGCAGTGATTACACTACTGATGCCTGATTCTACAGGCGACAACGTCACTTCTGTACGGCCTTCCCTGTGCAGGTAACATCTCTCTTTACAAAACAAAAAATATCAAAAAATATCCAACGAAGAAAAGGATACAGATTCCGAGTTTTACGAATGCAAGAGACTTGACCGAACTGACGTCCTCCCCGTTCCACTCGCACCAATGGATAATGACGAGAGAACCGCGGACTTGGCGGTCCAGGAACTATCTCCTCGCACGCGATCGGGCAGCGCAAGTAGCGGCCACAAACGAAACCTTTCGGGTTCCCTCCTCTCAAGGCTTTCCTTCCTTCGCGTGAGTCACGCAGCACACACCTCCCTAGACCGACAGCACCCAGATATGGAACACAATGGCGACGAAGACCTCCATTCCGGTCTGCCGCAGAGCACAGGCAAAGGAGGAACAGCCAGCAGCCGGGCAATGTCTGCTGCTCTCGCACAACACCGAACACGCCGCCGCCGTGGCTCCCTCCGCAAAACTGCATTGCTAGGCACCAGGCTCGAATCACGCGACAAAAGAGCCACCGCTAAAGCCGCCGAAGCCCTCGAGGCGCTCCGCGCAGAACCAAGCCGACTCCCTGCCGCCGACTTACAAGCGGCTATACAAGCAAGAGATCAAACCCCTTCCGATAATGGGCCTACACGATACTTGTCACGCGAGAGCGAGGCATTCGACGACGGCCGCGACGATGCTCAACAGCCGGCCTGGTTCCGCGCAGCAAATACCCAGAAACCCATTCGACCTTCAATAAGTCGCCGGCGCCAGGGCCTTGCACAGCACATTCTCCAAGAACCAGCCACTGACGACGAGGAACTCATCTCCTTCCCTCGCCTCCACTCGAATTCAAATCCCACAGCAGCCGGCACCGGCACCAGCCCCAAAATCAGCTCTACGGCCGGTTTGCACATATCCCCACCATCCTCCAGCTCAGGTTCTTTCTACTCGCTCCAACCCCAGCCCGAAGCAGCATACCTCCCCGTCCACCGACATAAGTCCTCGCCCCTGGTCACACACCCAGTTGAGATGAAGAGCAGTCCCGATGTGGACGTGGACTACTCCGAGACCGAATGGTGGGGCTGGATTATACTAGTTGTGACGTGGCTGGTATTTGTTGTGGGCATTGGGAGCTGCTTTGGGGTCTGGAGCTGGGCTTGGGATGTGGGGGAGACGCCCTATGCGCCGCCTGAGTTGGAGGATGATCCAACTTTGCCGATAGTCGGGTATTACCCTGCACTTATCATTCTCACAGCTGTAATGTCTTGGGTTTGGGTTGTTGTCGCATGGATTGGCATGAAGTACTTCAAGCATGCTAATATATCCGGGGAGGATATTTAATTTCCTTTTCATCGTTCTAGCGTATATCATATTATAATACCCTTATTCTTGCGAGCGTTACATGGCATATTTTTCAATGGTTCCGCGTTTTTTTATGACAGAGTGTGTCTTAACACCATTCAATAGCTGCACAAATGTTACAGCTATATTACCACCTTTACGATGTCAGTTTCTAAACAGGGCGACAAGTAGATATAAAAATTGCTTGAATTATTCATAGGAAAATAATCCTGCTGTCATGGCCCCATCTGTACAACCATATATCTAATCTATAAACTATTACGAGGCGCTTTTATGGATCACAAATTTGCAACCTTCAACTTCCTCAAGCGCAACATGCTATCCTGCAAAGAGGTCGCCAGCAACGTCCCATCAGGGCTCCAAAGATGACTCTCATGCAATGCCCTATTCTCCGCAGCCCGAGGCGTCCAGCCCTCCTGCACAAACCACTTCATAGGCAACTCACTCACACTGCCAACATCGCTATCGCCAATACTCTCCCAATCAACCATCCGCAGAGCCTCCCCATGCTGATGCACAATGACCGTAAGCGTAAGACTCGCCATCTCAGCCCAATGCGTGATCCCCAGCGCGCGTGGGATTAGAAGAAGCGAGTTCTTATCACTGGAATACATATGCGCACACGCATACAAATTATCATATTCCCCGTTCGCTTCCCTCTCGCGGATCTGTGCCAAACTTGCAGCAGGATCATCATCTGGCGATCCTTTGAGCCGGTACTGCGTTAGCTGGCGATATTTCTCAGGATGTTGCTTGACATCCTCGGTGCGGTTATAATCCTTCATGTCGGTCTTACGAACGTCCAGACCGGGAAACTCGGGCTCGGAGACGTTTCCCTGCCGCACAGCCTCGATCCACCATTCTGCGTCCACGCTGGGACTGGGAGGCTGGTCTTCTGGCCGTTTTGCCGAGAGAATTGAGTCGTATCGGGTTTGCGCTGATGTCGGCTGGTGCTGGAAGAGACGCTGTTTCTCATCACGCTTGAAGGAGCATATGCACGAGAAGCAAATTTTTCCTGCTTGCCGTGCGTCGACGGCTCGTGTGCTGTACATGAAGCCATCGCGGATATGTCGCACGGTGTACACGTATGGCGTGTCGAGCCGTCCCCCTAGAATGAATGTGCCCGTCATATCCTGCTGGTACATCAGTTTGAGTTTCTTTGGGGGCGATTGGTGTATAAAATCTCACGTGAATCACTAATCCCTGACCGACAGTCTTGGACGCAGCATAGGCTGATTGGGCATAGACATGTCCGCCGAATGAGCGCGTTCCCTGACCAGGATTGTAAGGTGTTGCTAGTGAGCGGAAGCGCTCAATCTTTTCCGTCTCAGAGGTGTCAGGATGCGCGATCAAGATATCTTCGAGTCGCTGCAACGCCATCAATTCAACAAAAGAATGCAGGGACGGCAGCTCGCCGTCATTGTCCGGGACTCCGCGTTGCGGAGGCATAGCGAAAAAGAGATGAGAGGCGTTCTACTCTAGGCCTTTTCTTCCTAAGTATGCAAGACAAGCGAGGCAGTTGCTCTCGATAAGGTGGACTGTACGGGCCGATGGTATCTGTCCGATGAAAATAGCGGCCCCTGGATCCGATCGTGATCTTCCCCGCGATTGTGGGAGGTGAGAGTGGGGTTAATGAGCCAGGCCTTGTACACACAATCTCCTGGTATATAAACCCCGTAGGATCGTACTGTGGGGAGTCGATGTGTTAGATTGATAATGTATGTATGGGGATTGGTACTTACCCCGGACTAAGAGACGGGACCGGCCGGTGCCTCGGCTTGTCAATTTGAGTCAACTACTCCGTAGGTACTCCGTACAGCCGTACGATATAGAGGTGAATGTTCTAAAATGTAGAAGTTTTGAACAAAATAATTGTAGGAATGCTGTAATAGCTGCCTATATAGGTGTATGATACTTAATTTAAATCTAGCGTTTAGTATTGATAGGGTGAAAGAAATGAATCTACGCTGGAACACCTCGGTCCCCCTGGTTTCCATAAATCGAGTGATTGTGGCAATCAGAGGATGTGGCATGTCAATCTCTATTAATCAAAATAGGGGAGATATAATGAACCTTTCTATCGGATGCATGGTTTGTTCGTCATGCTCGCCGTTGCCATCTTTTATGGAGGACCGAGTGGAGAAAACACGGTTTGTAGTAACAGCCACAAAATAGACTTCTAGATCAAACTGGTATTTTGTACAATATGCGCCGATTGTGCTGATAGGTTCGAGTGGCAGTTCCCAATGCCTGTGCCATAATAATACAAAGAACAAAAAGAAAAGTGCTGAAATCCAAATCCACGCTCCTAAATCTGGTATCAACAATCCATCGAATTTTCGTCAGAAAAATTTTGTCAACTAGATCTGCTCAGTAATGGTGGAAACGTTGTTCCATTCGACCTTGCCCTCGATGTCCTTAATCTCCTCAAGTTTGTCGCCAAGCTTGACCACCGAGAAGTTGATCATACGCGGATCGAGACCGAGAGTGCGGCGGATGTTTGACTGAACTGAACCGGAGGAGTCAAAGCGCATGATGAAATGGTGACCTTCGGTGTATCGGGCCTGATGTTTCGTGGTGACCCTGGGCAGACGGAAGGCGCCCCAGTTGGTGTAGCCGCGGACGACGCCGCCGGATCGGATGACTTGGGTACCGGCATTACGGGCGATTCTACAGTAAGTGATGTATATTAGCATTTGATAGCTTCGGATGATGGATACCGCGGTAATGGTGTTTGTTCAGACGTACTCTCGCACCTCATTGAGGCTGCCCGGGCGGACCTGTTAGTAGAACGGTTAGCAAATCCAGACATATCCTTTAGAGTCAATATAATAGTTCTATTGAAACCAAAACATACAATGGCAATCAGCTCGTACAACATGGCATCGAGGGGTGGCACGCACGAGATACAGAAATGAGGCAACCTTTGACCATTTGAAGTCAGCAAAATCCGACGAGGTTAGCGCGTTCCTTATCAGAGTCTTGGCATTTTGTTATCGGGGAAATGCCACTCCGCCGGAGAAGGGCATCACCTTCTTTCCCTTCTACTTAAACTCTCCCCTCTTTCCATTTCATTTTCTACGCTTCCAATTCCTTTCTTCTATATTTCGTAATGTCCTCCGTCGCTCGCGCCATCCGTCCCTTTGCTTCCCGGGCCCTTGCCCAGAAGCCTCTTACCTCCGCCTGTCAGGTTTCGCCTGCTTTCCGTTTCCCGCGGGGAACCAGGAGCTTCTCTCAGAGCCCTCTCTGTGAGTGCCATGCACCCCCAATGCTGTTAAAAGCTGCACAGGACAATGTTCAAGACATTCGGACCGGCATTGAATCATCAAAATTCCTCAAACGTGCCTCTTGGAGCTCTATTATCCCACATTTTACTAACGGCGCACCAATTTGCCATTATAGCTCAGTTGAAGAAGTACACAGAGTCACACGAATGGATTGAGCTGGCTGAAGGCGGCAAGACTGGTTAGTTTACCATCACCCCGATCAATTGACCCATACACCTACCTGCCTTCGACCTATTGAACCGACGCGCCGGGTGTATATGGTCTTCCATTGTATACTGTTTATGAAGCAGCAAGGTAACTCATACGCACTCTTCACAGCCAAGATCGGTATCACCGAGTACGCCGCCCACTCTTTGGGTGATGTCGTCTACGTCGAGCTTCCCGAGGTAGATCTCGAGATCGTCGCTGGCGAGCCCGTCGGCGCCGTCGAATCTGTTAAGTCTGCCTCCGATGTCCTCTCCCCCGTCGCCGGCAAGGTCATCAAGGGTAACAGCATCCTTGAGGATAAGGCTAAGACTATCAACGAGAGCCCCGAGGGTGAGGGGTGGATCGCTGAGATTGAGGTCGCTGATGTTGCTGAGCTTGATGCGTTGCTCGATGAGGCTGCCTACAAAGAGACTATTGATGCTTAGATTTGTGGAGTGTAAAGACTAATCATGATTCGTGGTTTATAAATGCCTGCCTGTGCTGGATGTGGTGCCTTTCTTTTTTTTTTTTTTTTCAGGTGTGATGTCATATTGTCATGTATGGCCAATGGTGACCGATTTCCTTCAACCAAAGCGTTTAGATTCATTGATCCGTAAAGGGATCGATAGACTGTTCAACAAGATTTCTGTATAGGTGAATGGCTCTTGTTTAATTTCCTTGTAAAGAAATCATAGTCCATATGTCCAGGCGAATGTGTGTTCAGAGCTAGATTACGCAAGTCTCAAGATTGGAATGTAGCAGGCCTGTATACAGCAGGGTGATATCATGTATGAAAAGCATTACAACAGAAGCTATACAGGAGGTATAGATTCACGGCAGATCGGACACTGGAGGCGGAGTCTCATCCAGCTTTCCAGACATGCGGTATGGAAGATATGGCGACAAGGAGTAACCATGTACAACCGGCGACTTAGGATGCTTGAGGCCCCATCGGCGACACTACTTCCACCCGTGGCAGAAGGCGCAGGAAGGACAGGCACCTCGATGTCCTGCATGCAAATAGCACAGTCGAATATGGCCTTCTTGCGGTCTTTTCGCTGCTTATCGTCATCCTTGGAGTCACTGACGAGATCTCGCTCATCACCCCGCAGGGATGCGATCGACAAAATGCCACCACTAGCTTCAAGATCATTGTCCGCTTGAGATAAATCACGCAGCATGGGATGATAATCGTACGCGTGCGGTGCCCAGCCACGAGGCACAAAGAAGCGTGGCCCGAGAACGTCCTGGCTAACCAGAATCCAAGCTTGAATCCACACCCATCCAGTCATGATGAATGCACTTGTGTAGTCGGGGCGGATAAACAACACATTTCCCCGTGCTGTGAGAAAGTACAGGAATGGGAAGAGCCGGAGAATACTCTGGCCGGCAACAAAGTCCCATCGAAGGGCCTTGCGACAATTTCGCATCACGTTGCGGTAGATCTGTGGAACCCAGAAGGAGAGATAGACTGCTGCCAAGAAACGGGTGTAGATCGAGCCGAGGCGTCTTGGTAGAAGGAAAGCCCAGATTGACAGGATGAGCATGCCAAATAGCGTAAGATAGAATCGTGCATACATTGTCCCTACGTCGCTGCGGATTTGCCTTGGAGTTGGAGGAGTGGTTCGGGTGGCTGGCGGCGGCGAATCCATCTCATCATCAGGGGGATCTTGGTCAGGCGACAAGATGATTGGGGTGGCCCCCGAGTCTCGCACTACCGGAGCAGTGGCAGGCAAAGGCAAAGTCCCAGGGCGAGTAGTTGGAGCTGATTGATTGGGCGGACGATCTTGCTCTCTTCTTTCTGGCTCTTGCACTGCCCATATTTCCATCATGAACTTCATTCCGATATAACTCACCGACAGGAACGCCAAAAATGACGCAGTGGTCAGAACCAAGAAAGATACTGCCGCATATAGTTCCAAAACAATGAATGTTAAAACAAATGCATCGCCGAGAGCCATCAGTGCGATGGTATAGAAGCTGATCCGACTCCGGGTAGAAGGAGTCGAAGCCTCTTTGATTTGTCGGAGAAGCAGGGTGATCTGTGCAACAAAAACACCAGAAACCACGAAAATGAGACGAGCTGCATATTTACTGTACTCTTCATGCTTAGGCCCAGTCACATATAGTGAATCAGAAGGAGGGAACTCGGGGGTTCCTTTTGTTTGAAGTATGTACCCGCAGTCCGGCGAAAAGACAACGGCAGACATGACCATAAGAGGAGGATCTGGGATTGGCGCTCCCATGGGATATCTGAGCTCTTGCTCCATACGCTCCAATAATAATCGGTCAGCAGCGGCATCCCCGAGCATGACTGGATGCTGCTGCAAGTAGATGATATGTTCACATTTAGGCGCAGGGAACTCTACCTGCTCTGTTCCTACCAGTGAGGACCAGGGGAACAGCGTTGAGTGTCGATTTTGCTTCTCCGAGATGGTGTCCGACAGCGACTTGAGAAGAAGCTCATGGGACAGTTTGTAAGTGTCAGAAGATAGCATGAAATGCGGCAACGAGAAGATCCCGCCAAATTTCTCGCTAGAAGTAGTCAAAACGATATTTCCTGTGTCTGGGAAGTGTACACCAAACAACGAAATGTACCAGGTACTGCCCCAGAAGTCCTCGCTCTCGACAGTCAAGCTCGCTCGCATCTCTCTTACAAGTCCATCACCCATCTGAAGTTCTTCGCCACCTCCTTCTTCAAGATCGAAGTAAAAGGTGCCCATGTTGCCCGTGATATTGTGGCTGAATTCATGGGTGAAGTATTCATGTTCCTCAGCGATGGCCGTCGTGTTCAGAGGTACCCGGCGATCAGCACCTTCAGTCCTCCGAACCCAGTCACCCCGAAGCTTTCCGGTTGTGTTGCGATATACTGGAAGCAGGAGCTTTGTTAAGTTCAACGTAGGTGACACGGTGGGGTCTTCTAGACCATCCGGGGGTTCTAATCCGGCATTTGAGACGGCTGATTGTAACTGGTGGCGAGCCAGGCCTTTGACTTGCGGGAAAAGGTCCCAAGCATAGCTGTCATTTCCCCTTAATCCCGAGAAAGGAAGCCATCGATTGGTAGGCGGATCAAACTCGCCATATTCTGACCCATTCAACAGCCGAAGGATCTGTCGCTCATGGTCAAGCTCACGTTGCCGTGCCCGATCTTCATCGATTAATGGAGGCCGGGATTGGGAACTGAGGACAAGGTAGAACACCAGCAAGAAAAATAAAAAGGAGCCGCGGTTATCCATCTATGCCACGGGGTCTCGGCATCGGACTCTTCCTCAAAGACAGACAATAAGCATCGCGATAAAGAGAAACAAAAGACCCGAAAAGGACCGGGGAGCTCGACTAATTTACAGAGGGAGCAAACAGAAAAGAATTAATGAATGACGAGCGCAGTATAAGTCAGTGTCTAGGAGCGGAGTTGATGATGTACTCGACCCCGGGGAGCCTGCCCGCCGGGCACCCACTCCTTGCTGACTCATGACGCCTCAGGCATGATGGATGGGTCGATATCAACCTTGGAAACGGTCTACTTCGGGATTTATACCCCGTGAAATTAAAAAGAGATGGACAAATTGAAGACTATCCTTATCCAGAGTTTTGAAGAACAGTTCAAAAAGATAAGAAATGCCCATGCATCCGTGGCAAGAATTGTCCACTAAATGCGAAGACCCGAATGCTGATATCAAACCGGTTGAATTTTGGTACAAATAGAAAAACGCATACACGATGACCATCTTAATCATAATAGCTCTTTGCTTTATGATGCAGCAGCCAAGACACCACCCTCAGGCTTCTCATCCCGCCGCCGACGCTTCTCGAGAATGGCCTCGCGGCGCTGTGCAAGCATCTTCAATTGTCTGCTCTCAACGCCCTGGAGCCAGTAGCCAAAGCTTCCACCAACACCAGCGAAAAGAGGGTAGACCCAGAGGGATTCCTTGGCGAGGATGGGACGCATCTCGATACCGAGTTGCCAGAGACGGACGGCAATGCCTGTGGGATCAACGCGGTTAGTTTCAATGGCCATATAAATAAATGAAACAAACATGCCACCAAAAAGCATGGTCTTGTAATAAATTGAAAGCCGGGGGAGAAGATGTCACGTACCGAAGCCACTCCAGAAGAGTACTTTGTGAACCATGATCGCGGTCGGGCGCGGGGTTGTGGTTGTAATTCGAGTGCGGAGGGGGATCCGAGAGAAAAGTCCAGGCAGCAGATGGGTGGATTGGTTAATTCAACACCACAGTGGCCGGGGTAAATGGAGGCAGAGTTGGATGTTGCCGTCGCAATAGTACAGGAGAGACGAGGTTGAAGCAAATCAGCGGGCCGCAGTTCCCAATCACGGAATAACCATTTGTCCGATTACAGATGTTATCGGTTATCGCTCGCGGTACTTTGAATCTCTCTCTTGTGGTGTTACTATGGCTTCTGATGAGAAAATGGACAATTCTCCGGTAATAGAGGATGTCCATTCTACATCTAAACGCTCTATTGACATTGAGAGCCTGAAGCGCAAGAAGTTCAAAACCGATGACCTTCCCTTATCTGCGGCGCAACATGCAGTCATTGACAAACTCCTACATTCATTCAAGAAGAAGGGTGGCTTTGATAGTGTTCGCAAACAAATATGGGCTGAATTTAATGACGGGGTATGAGAGTCTCCTGAGACAGTGCTTGCTACAGATTATTTATATGTTTTTCTGCGTCCTGCTAACCCTATCCGAACAGGAACTTCGAACCGATTTTACCAACAAGTTGGTCGCACTTGCAGAATCAGAGATCGATCGAGAGCCGGCACTGCTGTCCCGCGAGAGAGGGAAAGCAGCGACACTCATTGAGGGCGCGGTGGACCGTGGTGATGTCTACAAGAGCGTAGAGGACTCCATCGACCAATTAGCATCCAAACATCTTGATTTTATCCTCGAATCGGTTCGTGAGATACGATGCCAGGACGTTGGGGAGGAAGTTGCCACCTGTGAACTACAGCTAGGAAACAAAACCGATGCAGATTACGAAGCCTACGTCAACGCCCAGCGGGAGGAGCGGGAAAACGTGTGGCGCGAAGAGGAACGCAAACAGAGGGAGATTGAGGAAGAGGAAAAACGTCTCAGAGACGAAGAACGCAAAAAGAAGCGCGAACTTGAACGTCAGAAAGACGAGGAAGACCGGGCCCGAAGAAAGGAAATTGATGAACAGAGACGAGCTGATCGTGAACGCCAACGTGAAGAGCAACGAACTCTCGATGAGCAGCGAGAACGAGAGCGAGATGAAAGATATGAGCGCCGAAGGCGAGAAGATAGGGAGCGATATCGAGGCTGGGACCGCGACCGCAGTCGAACTCGAGATAGAGACCGTTTCCGTGATCGCTCTCCAGCCTATCGCTCTGACCGTGGTTTATCCCCTTGGCCCCGGGATTCAAAACATGACAAGTCATCTACATCTAATGATCCAACTCCTGTGTTAGTGCCCCTTGTCGACGAGAAGTCACTTGAGGAGGCTGCTTTGCAAATGCTCTTGAAAGAAGGCGAAGAACTCGCAGCCAAGGCTCGACAGAAGCCCGAGTTTGACTTTGAAGAGGCCGAGGCTATTGAAAATGGATTGAAACCGCCAGGATCGACATTGGGACCTGCAAAGGGTGCAAACGATTCCAGATTTTCCAACACATCTACTAGAGCGGCTAGCCTATCCCGAGATGCTGACGCAAGGCGCGGTTCACTTGCAGACCGTGGCGATCGGTCCCGACATTTGACACGCGATCGAACCCGGAGTCGCTCGCGCCGACGGCGCACATCCCGTTATGACACAGATCGTCGACATGAACGGTCCCGGGATGCTTCTGTGAGGTCTCGAGATCGTGATATGGATGCGCGCCGTGGCTATCGTGATTTCCGGGATGACCGAGGCGGTGGAAGCTACAGACCAGGCCGTCGCAGCCGTAGTCGATCCGTCGGCCGGCGTGACCGAGACCGCAGTGCTGGCCGCGATAGAGATAGAATACGGGATCGATCGCGGTCTAAAGACCGTGACCGAGACCGCAGCCGCAACCGTGACCGAGATCATGACAATTATCGCCCTCGGCGCAGTCGGCCTTCTCGCTCACCCGTGCGCCGACGTTCTCGCAGCCACTCACACTCGCGTCCTCGTGCTCGATCTACTCGCCGGCGATCTCGGTCTCGGCGTCGCTCACCTTCTCCTACTCTAGATATTGACCGCTACGTGCCGTCCACCAGCAATCGGAGCAAGTCACCCCGCCGTCGGGTCCGATCTCCAGAGCGAGAGCGAGAGCGTGAACAGCGACCCCGGTTAGCTGATATTGACCGTTACAAACCTGTATCTGAACGAGAGAAGGATCTGACTCTGGCAAAAGAGGGCGATATTGAGGTTGGCGCAGAAAAAGAAAAGGAGAAAGAAAAGAATAAGGATAAGGATACAGCTGATCGCCGACCTCGTCGACGAACCCCTAGTCGCCGAAGGAGCCCTAGTAGACGAAGAAGCCCGAATCGGCGACGAAGTCGCAGTCGCAGAAGGAACAGGAGTCGATGATCTTTTACGCAGGTGTTTTGCCATGTATAAAAAAGACTAGGGAGGCTTTTGTGTATCGACTTGCTTTTTTTTTAACTACTCTGTAATAATAACATGTATGACTAGAGAGACTATAACCATTTGAATCTCACCATCTATTATTTGTACTCCTAATGCGGCCTAAACTCAATTGAAATGGCCTCAACCCTTACGTAGATCATATGAATGCCCAGGCGGGGGTCTCGATATACCTATGTATGTATGTAGTCCAATCCATCCATATCGATAGCCGATAAGCTTATCCGTTATCAGTTCTCCACCCAAAAAAGTTGAAAATGCTCGACCTCCAACCACATTCGCCAACTTCCATTCTTCCAAGACACAGACAACACCCGCGGGTATCGAACACTGAGATCACATTGAGCCATATAACATTAACTCCAAATATCTTGCGAGGGTCTCTTTCAACCTTCAAACCAACATCAACGCATCACAATCTCTGCGAAATCTCTGCGACTCCTAGCAAACCACATACCTTCAAACACCTAGAACATGTCAAAAGCAACGACAAGATCTGAGGCTACTGCAGGCAAGCCATCTACACAAAGCCTACTAACAGACCGCACTGTGCCTCGTCGACAGCGCACCAACTCTGTTCAATCATCCGACTCCGACCCAACCTCCTCCTCAGGCTCATCTTCAGAGGATGACAGTGAGAGCGAAGGGGAAGACGAACAACACTCCGATCAAGAAATGAATGGTACCAGAGAGTCGAGTGTCCACGCACATGCCTCTGATCCCTCCTCACTACCGCACATCGCCGGCCGCCCGAAACCGCGCATACATCGCATGAAAGGCGATTCAGAAATCTTGTCGCGGCTTACCGCGTTCTTGCCAAAGATAAAGGATGCAAATGAAGATTTACAGAGGCAGATTGAAGCTGGGAAGGCTGGGGATTTGGTTCTTGATAATGCGGACGAGAATGGGGGACAGTATATTGAGATGGTAAGGTTTATTGTTGTGCTTGATCTTTTTCGTGGGGTTTGCTAACGGGGTTTAGGATCTTGGTCTTGGGGTTTTGGAAGAGAAACGCGATAGTGATTCTTCGAGTGATGAGAAGAGCGATGATGAAGAGTCTAAGGGTGCCACTGGGGCTGGGAAGAACCCCCAGGAGATGAATGACTCGGATATAATTGGGAAGCTTATGGGGGGAAAGAGTAAGAAAGCAGATACAGATAAGCCGTCTATCCAGGAGATGGCTGAGTAGATACTTGCTTGATTTGGTGGTGGATTGCATTATTCAGGACATTTTTGATTGAAATGTGTGGTCTTGATTTAATTATGACGATTTACTACTGGCTTGATATAGGCTCCGTGTTATCATTTAGGTAGCGATTAATGCTTTGCTTTTTTCCCATCCCAGAAGTGGCTCTGAACCAATCACATACACAAAAACACCCATACATTCATTCCCTACCTACATATGTATGCACCTCATCAGAAATCAAGTCTAGATAACAAGCATGGTAGGAGTAAAAACAGTAAAACAAAACACGAGAATATCGCGAATCTCTATATATATGCATGAACCCATCATACACGATGACCGAATGACATTATTAAAAAGTGATAATTTTGCGTTTCGCCGTCTCGTTGTTTAGATCACTTGTTTGATGCGGCAAGTCCAGCCAGATTCCTGACTCAGGAGAGGCAAGCTGTAGCAGGTTAGTATACCGATTAGAAAGCGAGGGGAAAGAATAAACTAACCTCGCACCAAGACACCAGCCCAGCTCGTTGTTCTTGATTTTCTTGGCAATCTTGACCTCGCGGGACAAAGGCATTTCATAGCCCGTGTGCAGGAGACCCATCATGAAGCTCAGGTCCATACACCAATCCGGACGATCCCGAAGTTGCACGAGCGCGTTGTCCTCACTCTCGAACTTAACACCCTCAAAGCCCTTCCATTCGCTTTCGCCAGCACAAACGGTGGAGGTTAGCTGATTAAGCTCATCTAGAGTGAAAGATTCCGGCATGCCAAGAGGAGCAGTGCGGTCGAAGAAATAAGAGAAGATGTATACGTCCTCTCTTGCGAAAGTCTTCGCAAGAGAGGGCTGGTGCACACCGTTGAAAGAACAGGGCGCAAGCTTGCATTCGCCGTTCTTCTTCAAAATCTTCTCAGCGATACCACGGCACTGGGGGGCCATAGACTTATCCTTCGGGCCAACCATGGTCACCTTGGTTGTAGACGCCAGGGGATGATCAGCGGGGAACTTGACTTTGACCACCTTATTCATTCCAGGGGCAATGCAGGGGTTGGAGATGGGCTGTTCAAGCCAAGCCAGGTCATTGGGGCTCTGAGCTAGCATCGCCTCTACGACCATGGTGTTCATAGCCTCGCGGGCAGACATGAGGCCATATCCTAGATGAGAGTGCTGGTACAGCTCGAATTGGCGGCCACCGAACTTGAGGTCATACTTGTGGTCGCCAGCGGCGAGATGCTCCGGCATACCACCAGCCTTGCTCTGCTCGAAGGTAGGCTGGAAGACAATTTGAGTGGAACCGCCACCAAGGTCAAAGATAGCCGCCGTGGGAGTCTCATCTGGGCCACCGATCTTACCCAACAGATAATTGGTTGTAATCCAGGCGTAGACACCTTCGTCCGAACCATCCATGATCTGGACACCGCCCTTCTCCCGGGAGACAACCGGAAAGGGGTAAGCGGTCTCCAGTCGGTGTCTAACGGCCTCCAAAATCTTATCGCTCATTTCAGGACCTAGAAGACGAAGTCCGGCCGTAGCCTTGACGGCAACCGGAGAGCAGGACCTGTACTCCTCAGGAACCGACTTCACAGCGACCTCCATAAGAGGGTCCAGACTCATAGCTGCACCCTCGGCATCCTCTCTAAAAGAGCTGAGACCAGAGCCTCCCTCCTTCTTTTTCGTTTGTTCGAACACCTCGTTCTCAAGTTCCGGGGTAGGGCCGCAATTGTTGAATCGATATACATGAATCCGAGACCCAGTACTGCCGGCATCGATCATAAGAGCGTACTGAATAAGAGGCTTGGACGAATCAAATGGCTTGGTGCATCTTGTTGAAGTGGACGCGCTACTGCTTGAAGGTGGTTGCTCTACCAAATAATCAGTTTTGCGAACAACAGTGCGCGCAAGGGGAACACCAACCGTTGGTAAGACTTGAGGCACTCGGCTGGGACGGTGAGAGCCACACCAGGGCCATAAAAATGAAGGCAATAATTGCCCCCGTCTTCAAGTAACGCGATCTCTGGGTCTGTGCCATGTTGACGGGTTTTTGGTCGGAGGATTGACTGGATTTGATAGACTGCGAGATAGTCGATCCGTCGCTGCGGGAGATGGAGCGGTGCCTGGTGGCCAAATCTATGTAGTCAGATTTGCTGTTATGGTTTTGATTGTCGATTCCAGTCGACATTCGAGCAGTTGCCGAATTATAAGGGTGCTGTGACAGGTGGCGTTTGTCACAGGCGCAAGAATGGCTGAACGATCGTACGGGGTTAAAAGGAAGAATGAAACAATTAAGCAACCATTGATCCCGATGTCCTCCAAAAGCACCAAGCCAGGCTAGGAAGAAAAAAGTGGATTGATGTAAAGAGGGAAAATTGTCAGGAGAGAAAGGAGATTCAAGGTTTCATGGTTGTGGCGCAGGTGGCGTTGAATGCATGCATGGATGCACAGGGAGAACTTCTTAGATCAGGTACGACCTACTAGGAATGATGATTAAGATTTCATAAATCTTTCTCTTCTACTCTAAGTGTAAGAGGGACATTTCTAAAAATAGAGCAAAATACAATACTGGCATCATGAATTGGCCGGAAGCATCTATGGTATGTAGGTCCTCCCCGGGGCCGGGGCTGGGTGGTTTACTAATGTTTGTTGTGTTTGCATTCAGTCGTATTTGAGTTCCCCATATTTAGCGGCCCATGGACTGTTCAATCCAACACGGAATTCCCTCTGTATTTTGTAATCCACGATCAAACACTGTACTTGTCATCCCTGGCGAGCTTGCCGGCATTCTACAGCTCCTACTGCATTTTACGCTACCGGCCGACAACATGAACCACACACGCAGTCTCATATCATCTGCTCAGGCCCTACGCCAGATATTCATCACCCCCGTTCGTGCCTCCAGAGTTGGCATTCATCTATTCAAGCCTCTACAGGATGCCACCCAGACTCGATTTTTTCAGCAATCCCACTGCCTAAAGCTTCGAGAATACCGACCACCCGTCGAAAAACCACCGATAAACGAAGCTATCCGTGCGTCATTTGTCCAAGTTGTGAACGATGAGGGCGACCTCGATCCTCCAACTAGACTAGAGGATGTTCTTGAAAGCTTCGACCACGCCGAATTCTTTCTTCTCCAGGTGCAAGAAGGCGACCATAACAACCCACCAGTTTGCAAGGTCTACAATAAGAAAGAAGTGCGAGCACATGAAAAAGCCAAAGCAAAGTCAGCTCGCTCAACTAAGGTTACATTGAAACAAATTGAGCTGAATTGGGCAATCGATGCCCATGACCTGTCTCACCGGCTGAAACAACTCTCGACCTTTTTGGAGAAAGGCCGCAGAGTGGAAATCCTCTTGACCACCAAAAAGCGCAAGCGCAATCCCACTGTGGATGAGATCAAACAGGTCATGCAAAGTGTGTTGGACACAATCAGAGAGGCCGGTGGAACTCAGACCAAGGCAATGGAGGGTGAACTGGGTAAGCAACTCAGGATTACCGCGCAGAAGAATACTTAGCGCAGAGTACTGGTTACATGTATATTATATGGCATTCAAGTGTCCAATGTTGTGGTTGTGTAGTGCTCTTATCACTGTTAGACTACATTAAATACATAATATATTCAAGAGTCAAATGGGTTGGTCCCTACATACATGGTGATATCTGGTTCACTCCTATCTACATACATAATACGTGAGTTGGGAGTAGCTGGAGACCTAAAAGCTTTGGAACCCTTCGCATCGAGGTACAATTACCACACAGAATGACCCCCAAAAAATTGTTAAAATCATGTTTCATTATCCTTGTGTCTATTATCTAGTTATGTACGGAGTATGTACCTACCTACTGCCCGTAACTCGAGACCCGTGATTGGCTGATGACTAAGCTGCCCTGGAGGATTCCCGGAAGCCATGTTACTAAAAAATTTGGTGTTGATCTGGGCTCCTTCTCTCCCATCCTTACTCCATCTGTTCAATCTTTCCTTTTTGTTCTTGTTCCATCGTTTCTGTTTCGATTGAACCAAGATGTCGACCATCTCCCGTTCATTGAACCTTCTGGCGCGCACCAGCCGGTCCTCCCTGCTGCGTCCGACTACTGTCAACCCTGTCCACCATGTCTTCAGCAACAAGGTGGCTGCCCGTGGATTGGCTACTGCTTTCGAGCGTAACAAGCCCCACGTGAACATTGGTAAGACCCTTGTCGCCGGCGCATTACTCGTCTCCATGCTAAAAGTTATTTCTCAGGTACCATTGGTCACGTCGATCACGGCAAGGTAGGTTGTTCGCGACTTGTTCCGATATCTCCGCCATCCGCACATCGAACCTAACCCATACACCCATAGACCACCCTGACTGCTGCCATCACCAAGAACCAGGCCTCCAAGGGTCTCGCCAACTTCCTCGACTATGCCTCCATTGACAAGGCCCCTGAGGAGCGCAAGCGTGGTATTACCATCTCGACCGCCCACATCGAGTTCGCGACTGAGGACCGTCACTATGCCCACGTTGACTGCCCCGGTCACGCCGATTACATTAAGAACATGATCACTGGTGCCGCCAACATGGATGGTGCCATTGTCGTCGTGGCAGCCTCCGACGGTCAGATGTACGGCCTCCAGTCTAGAAAGCTAGTTTGAAGAGTGTGCTGACGCAAATCACGCAATAGGCCCCAGACCCGTGAGCACTTGCTGCTTGCCCGTCAGGTCGGTGTTCAGAAGATTGTTGTGTTCGTTAACAAGGTCGATGCCGTTGATGACCCTGAGATGCTTGAGCTCGTCGAGCTCGAGATGCGTGAGCTGCTCTCCTCTTACGGATTCGAGGGCGAGGAGACCCCTATTATCTTCGGCTCTGCCCTCTGCGCTTTAGAGGACCGCCGCCCCGACATTGGTACTGAGCAGATTGATAAGCTCATGAAGGCTGTCGACACTTGGATCCCGACCCCCGAGCGTGATCTGGATAAGCCTTTCCTTATGTCCGTTGAGGAAGTCTTCTCTATCCCTGGTCGTGGTACTGTTGTCTCTGGCCGTGTTGAGCGTGGTCTCCTGAAGAAGGATACTGAGGTTGAGATTGTCGGTGCCACCGACTCCGGCAACCCCATCAAGACCAAGGTTACCGATATTGAGACCTTCAAGAAGTCCTGTGACGAGTCCCGTGCTGGTGACAACTCCGGTCTCCTGCTCCGTGGTATCCGCCGTGAGGACATCCGCCGTGGCATGGTCGTTGCTGCCCCTAACACCACCAAGGCCAACAACAAGTTCCTCGTGTCCATGTACGTTTTGACCGAGGCTGAGGGTGGTCGCCGTACTGGTTTCGGTGCCAACTACCGTCCCCAAGTATACATCCGCACTGCTGGTAAGTTCAATTCCTACCGATCTGATTTGATATACAATTGCTATAAGCGGTGCTAATTATGCTCTAGATGAGGCTGGTGATCTCAGCTTCCCCGATGGCGACATGGCCAGACGTGTCCAACCCGGTGACAACGTTGAGATGGTCCTGAAGACCCACCACCCTGTTGCTGCCGAGCCCGGTCAGCGCTTCAATATCCGCGAGGGTGGCCGCACCGTCGCGACTGGTCTGATTACTCGTGTCGTCGAGTAAATGGTCTGCCCACACCCATGGTCAGGCAGGTGAACTGTCTGACCCTTGTATTATGAACCCCTTTTCTTTAACATCTTGTTTGTTTTGGCACCTTTTATTCCACAGCGCGGGAATCATCGATCAGCACGAGGGATCCGGGGGTAAACCGGAGTTTTCGCTTGAATCTTGTTCATGTACCTCTACTGTCTTGGAGATGTAGTCAGATCTTCTTTCATCTCTCCACTCCCGTGAAAATGTATTCAGACCAAATTTTCCTAGGCTCATATATAATTCCAGTCCAAGTTCAAGTCAATGTGTATAGCATACCTTCATTCGGTCTATTCCATAAGATGGACGAACCTAGAAGCTACATAGCCTCTCGTTATCGTTTAAGAATACGCTACCAATTTTCAAATATGATAGGCGAGGTCAGGCATAGACATCAATCCAATCACTGCAATGCACCTGTACGGCTTCCCTTTTTAGTGCCCACTGGATTAGCAAGCTTTCTCGGCCTGTGTATGGAGTCGTAGTATATTGTTTACTACATATTGGGGCTAAGCTTTATTGCATATGTATGCACAGCAAACAATAGTACAGCTATGTGTGTTCATGTGAATGACATAAACAGCCTCAGGCTTCACCAGCAGTCTCAACAAGTGCTGGATTAATATGCGAGACTATACAATGGAGCAGGATGTCACGTCGTTCGCCATGTTTGAAAAACGCCGTACATACTACATACGTATGTACTATACGGAGTAGTCTTACTTTGAATAGAAACTACTAACCGTCGGCTCGGCTCGGCTCGGATTTATAGATTGTCTGGCGCGCGAACTTGAAGCCACTATTCTCAACTTCTCTTAAAAAAAAATCCAATTCTAGCCACTCGCTACTATCGACACTATATACAGTTAAACATCGACAAGTTGACCAGCGCTCCAAGGGTACATGCAGTACTACAAAGATTTCGGTGCTGATGTACGGTGTTGTGGCGCCTTGGCCTGCAGCACCTTGCAGCATCTACTACATCTACAGTGCTACGCTAGCTTGATTTTGCCGAAATTCGCCCAAAATGGAGGAATAAAATGCTAAATTATCGTAATAAGATACTGTCTTTCCCCCATGTATTAGTCTCCGTATGTTTGGTGGCCTCAATCCTCTCCGAAATAGCGCTACACTAGTATTAGTCTAGTATCACGGACTTGTCTCATCCGATACGGGAAGGCGGGGGCCATAACTAAGGAGTATACGTTATACTCCGCACGTCGAACATTCAAGATCTTTAGTTCAGAAATCTGGGCTGACCTTTACAACCTTGGAATATTCTTGACCAAACCACAGATAGTTTTCACCACTAAGATGTGCACCTCTGAACAGGAACTTCCTGGTAAATTTTTAGGACGCGCATTATAGCAATTATAAGCGTAAGTGTTAAGAGATCTCATTGGATCGTCTAGTTCCACATAGCGATGTTCCACATAGCGATAGGTTCCTATCATTATTAGACCTTCTAGATCATCCATACATAGTTCATACAACAATCAATCCACGATAGATTATCAGACCGCGTCTGTTTACGCAGTTCATTTTTATTGGTGGTGTCATTGCTATCCAGTGGTAACCTCAAAACACCGCAAACTAACCCGGAGAAACGGAGAAACACAATTAAAGGATGACTATATTAGATATATTGAGAAGAACTCCACAAACAATACCGGATAAACGGAAGCGAGGGCTAATACTATATATAGGAAAGGCCATGCGCGCGTGTGTAGTGAAGGTTCCTGAAGCTTTTGTTATTTTCCCAGACTACAAACTCGGCATTACACATATCCTATACCACCATGAAGAATCTCGATGATCTTGCTCCTGTGACTGGTGATGGGACAGTTGCTGCGACGCCCTTGAAACCTCGAGACGCACCGACTTACCTTTTTACGTTGTAAGATATCATCTTTGTATTAATTGATCGGAAAGTAGCTGAAAGATCTACACAGCGGGGATTCCTACACCCAGACTGAGTTCACTGTCGATGGCACACAGCCATCTACCACAAACCCGATGGGAAACCCCACACTAGGTGAGCAATATTCACCTGAACAAGTGGCTAAGACACTCATGAAGTCAATTAGGGGCTGGTACAACGAGCGGTGGTACTAATTGGGTCGGATACCTGACCACTCTATACAATGCCTCACCGGTACTTAGCTACAACTTTGCCGTTGGAGGAGCGACAATCGACAATTCTATTGTCGATACTAAGGTTAAGGATGTGACATCGCAAGTCCGGGACTTCGAGTTGGCATATAGCAAGAAGCCTATATCTGCGCCGTGGTCTTCAGATAATGCGGTGTTTGGGTTCTGGATTGGAATCAATGAGTATCGCGCCTTAATACCCCGGTTTTTGGTTGTGTTCTAATATTTTTCATTTTGTAGTATCGGCTGGGGTCATCAAAATACCCAACCTAGTGTACTTGTGCCAAAATTAATGGCCCAGTACCGATCTCTCGTTGAAAAAATATATGCATCTGGTGGGCGAAAGTTCCTTTTCCTCAATGTCCCGCCTACGGATCGGAGTCCTATGATCATCAAAGAGGGACCGGAAGCTGTCAAGACATACGCTACATGGGTGAAGGCTTACAATAATGGCCTTGAATCAATGATTAATGACTTCAAGTCAACTTACACTGACGTACGTGGTGATCTTTTACGCTTTTTTCACAAAACTAACTGACCTAGACTACTATCGTTCTTTACGATACCTGGTCCTTCATGCCGAAGATCCTGGACGATCCCCAGACATATGGATTCCCGAATGCCACTTGTTTCAATGAAAATGGAACTTCCTGTATTTGGTGGAATCATTATCATCCCGGGCAGAACTACCATAAACTACAGGCAGCGGATATGATACAGTACTTGCAGCCTCTCGGTGCTTGGTAGACTGATTGAGCGGATCGAGATGGATAGAGGTAAATTACAAGGGGATATCAAAAATCAGATCAAAGAATAGATGGAATTATGAGGAATCTTTAATACAACCTTATAAATGGTACATGTATATGGAGTAGAGATACTGTACTCCGTAGACTCCGTATAATAGACGGACTTAACGGAAACAGTTTATTGTATCTGATTGGCCCGTGATAAATATCACACCACTTCCAAGATTCGGCCGAACTTGACGGACGAACATCTATGAGAGCTAACTATTGAAGTGTCAACTTCTTTTGTATTCCTACGTTCTTTTGTTTAAGCTTACGTGGAACTAATTTGAACTCAAGGATTATTTTGCCCTTTCGACCTTTCAGAGCTAGCTATTGTGCCCCTTTCTCTGACATCTTGTCTTATTCCGAAGGTTATTCCCACCCAAGGATGATGCTGCACAATCTACAACAGCCACTGATCTGATCAACTTATTTAGCAACACAACATCATTGGGCATATGGCCTTATTCTTGTGTTCTTGCTATACGGGTTAAGATGGAATCCTGGACAGATCAAGAACCGCCACGAAAGAGGATGAGAAAGGGGACTAGAAGTTGCACAGAGTGTATGAGTCAAAGAATAGATATTTGATGTGTCTTCGCTAATAGCGTTCAACTGTAGGTCGACGACGCAAGATTCGGTGCACATTCCATCCCAACCGCCCGGCAGTTTGCAATGAGTGTCGGTCTAGAGGGATGAAATGTGTTGATCAAGAACATACGGCTATGACTCCTCCGTTATCCGGCTACCAGCGGAACTCTCAACAGGGCGAACAACCATACAGTCTCCGCGAGCGAGTCGCGCACCTAGAAAACCTTGTGGAGGGGTTGACCAAGCGACTAGACCAACAGGACTCTAGCACTCCACCTCGTGAGCGCCATGTGACAAATCAATGTTGGTATCTCCCAGATGCGTGTGTACTTATGTCGCCTGACTGACGTTACCTAGCGGACAGTATAAAATCCCATCCAAGACCACTGGCTACTGAGTCAGACGAACTAGGCCCATCCGGAGAACAGATTTGTAATGCGCCGGTACTACAACTGTTTGACAATTATCTCGTGAGCCGCAAAGAGGACCCGTCGAATAATGATAAATTTGCCGGTGTTCAGGACATGTCGCCAAAGGCCGAAACAGTGCGTGCAGAACTCATGTCTCTCCTTCCTCCTGTGGAGGATATGAATAAGATAATCAACGTGTCCTACCATTGGTTCCTGTGGCACGATTCTTTCCCAGAGCTGTTCGATCGACATGCCGACAGACTCGTTTTTAACGAAAATTATCGCGATACTCTAGCCGCTCCCGCTGAAGTCGCCAAGGCACTCATGTGTCTGTGTATCAGTGCGATCCATGCCCCATCTGAATTTGACTCTAGTACTTTGACCGTGCCATTTGAACCTCAAAGGTTCTATGACCAATGTATTGAGATGGTGGATCGTTTAATTGTCCGCGATGACGACTTCGCGGCTACCTTACCCGGTATAGAATGTCAGATGTTGCTCCAAAGGGCCCATATGACTGATGGTAGGCTCCGGAAGGCTTGGCTGGTGATTCGTCGGGCAATCGAGTTTGCCCATTTGGCCGGAATGCATCTATCCACCAAGGTTCCAAGGCCAAGAGATTCTTTCTATCAAAGGCGCTTGAAAATATGGTGTTCCCTGGCAACATCAGATCGATTGCTGAGTTTGATTCTTGGTCTGCCTTATGGTATCACCGATGAGTTCTTTTTGCCACAGACGGAGCAGCGTCTCAGTTCAGACATATCAGCTCCTGAGGAATACTTGTTGCGCATTGGCATTATCACGGGACACATGGTTGACCGCAACCAGGATCCTTCCAAGATGACTCTTGCAGCAACATTGCAATTGGATCAAGAGCTGCAGGATGCTTGGAAATCTATGCCAAGTCACTTCCAAGCCCCAGAGCCTTGCCACTATGAGAAACTGGAACATTACGTTGAGAGAATCCCGTTGCAATTCATGCTCAAGCTACTGCGTGCTTTTCTCCACCTCCCCTTGATGTTGCAATCTCCCCATGAGCCTCAGTTCCGTCCCTGCCACACGATCGCCATTCAATCAGCAAGAGAAGGACTCGTTCTATACAAGGTCCTTCGATCCACCACTAAACCCTATCTATGCAAAATGATCGATTTCATGGCCTTCACGCTATGTCTTCTTTTGATAATCCACCTGCAAGGCTATTCTGATGAGTGTCCAGATCACAGCAAAGAGCAAGACGAACAAGACTGGGATATAGTAATGAAAGTCATCGAGATCCTTCGTCAGGCGGCAACAGAGCTAGGAGGCTCAGTTGCTGCTGAGTCCGCAGGCATCCTCGGAGCTGTCTACAAAACCAAAGATTGCAAGCAAGATTGGAGCTGTATTTCGAGCTGCAAAATTACAGTGCCCTATTTTGGTACTATTACCGTCGGTGCAGGAACAAAGTTCTCCAAGGGCCCTCAAAGCAAGGAGCATGCATCAGTAGTACCAGGCACAATGGGGATGGAGGCTAGTTGCTCGGAACAATGTCCTAGCCAGCTCTATACGCCGCCGATGTCTGACCTTGAAAGTGCACCAAGTACCAACACTGATGCCTTGAATAGTGCTTCACTCGTACCCACGATGGCGCCTGAATATCCAGACGAGTCATGGCTGTCGAGGGGTGAAACAGCGACAAACTCATATCCTGGTTTGGAGTTCAACGCGTTTAGTGGACTGTTCGATGATTTTGGGCAGTATATGTGGCCAAACCACAGTCTTGACCTTGGACTTGATCAGGGCTGGAATTTGAACTGGTCAGATGGTGTGCCACCACCATAATCTATATCTAGGTACTCTTGTGACTTTACTTAACGGTATGAAATCTGTACAAGCTGTAAATTCGGACGGTTGACGCTATATATATTCAGTTGAAATAAATGCAATTTCTATCATGTGATTGCATGACCGTAGAAAGGGGTCACTGCCCAGGTGGATGGATATATGGATTATTACCAGTCAACGGTCAGATCCTGCAGTGTCAATACCATTAAGAAATGAGATCAAAATATCCTATATATTCCTAAAATATAAATACAATAGATTAAAAACAAAAACAAGAAATCAAATCTAGAGTGGTTTAGAAGTGACGTTGCCGGGGATAAAGGGGTTTATGTAAGACTATTGTCCCCTGGTCGACCTCCCTCGGGAGTGATCATCTCAATGAACCCGTGTTGGAAACGACCGTGTGATCCCTGAAATCCTCCCATTTTCCCATTTGACTAGTCTGTTGCTTTTTCCAGTTACATGGGCATCTAGATCTTCTTAGTATATCTTCGCTTCGTCAACTCACTCTTGCCACAACACCTCCCCTCTCCCCAAACATACACAGAGCAGAGGAACATAAACATGACGGAACGACGCCCCTCGGGGTTGGAAAGGAGCCCAACTGCGCCATCGATCCTCTCAAATGGTCACTTTGCTTCGATCGGCGCCGAAGGCGATGCTGCATCCTATGAGCACGGCGTGCAGGTGATTGATGGGGATAAGGAGTTCAAGTATGGCCACCTCCCTCTGCCATGGTTCATTCGACTAGGAATAAGACCAGAATACTGATCGCATCACTATAGTCCCAACCTGTCCAAATATTTGTCCCTTGAAAATGTCACGTCGGCTGGTTTCAATTACCATCTCATCTCCGTGTTTGGTTCGCAATCCACCGGAAAGTCCACACTGCTTAATCACCTGTTCGGCACCGAGTTCTCTGTGATGTCCGAGCTGGAGAGAAGGCAAACAACCAAGGGTATCTGGCTGTCAAAGAACAAGAAACAGGGCGAAGCTGCCGCAGCGGAGCGCATGGCTGATAACATCTTGGTCATGGACGTGGAGGGAACTGACGGTCGTGAGAGAGGAGAGGACCAGGACTTCGAGCGCAAGAGTGCGCTGTTTGCGCTTGCGACGAGTGAGGTCCTCATTGTCAACATCTGGGAACACCAAGTGGGGCTGTATCAGGGAGCCAATATGGGGTTGTTGAAGACCGTGTTTGAGGTTAACTTGCAATTGTTCCTGAAGGATAAGCAGTATGTATCCTTTTCGTCGTCTCATTCTCTATGCGCTTTGGGTGCTAATCTCTCTATAGTACCACCCACCGGTCCCTCCTATTCTTCGTCATTCGTGATTTCATCGGCAACACACCACTTAAGAACTTGCAGAAGACGTTATTGGAAGACCTCTCTCGTCTTTGGGACACTATATCGAAACCCGCGGGCTTGGAGAAGTCGACGATTCATGACTACTTTGATTTCCAATTCTACGGACTGCCACACAAGAATTATCAGCCTGACCAGTTCGTGACGGAGGCAAAGAAGCTTGGCCTGCGTTTCCGCGAAGGCCACCGAGACCTAAAGAGGGATGCGCTTAAGGGCGAGTTTTCCGAGGGAGGAGTTTTCCTACCTGAGTACCATCGGCGCATCCCAGCCGACGGATTCTCACATTATGCGGAGGGAATTTGGGATCAAATCGTCAACAATAAGGACTTGGATTTGCCCACACAGCAGGAGTTGCTTGCGCAATTCCGTTGTGACGAAATTTTGCGCGAGGTAATGATAGGCTTCGATGAGGCTATCGTCGCTTTTGAAGATAAACAGGCGGAGTCTGTGCGTCTTGGTGAGCCCGAGGTCCTAGGGGGACTTGGTGTTGCCATGCGCGCTGCGCGTGTCAAGACCCTAAAAAGCTTTGAGACGGAAGCCAGCCGATACCACAAAGGTGTTTACCAACGGAAAAGCGCCGAGCTTCAGAACAAGGTCGATACCCGCCTCAAGGCACTTTTCCACGGCCAGCTGTCAGCAGCCCACAAGTCTGGAATTCGCGACTTCGGTGATTCGGTCAGTGGTGCTGTGAAGGATGGCCAGAAAAGAGGCGGGAGCTACGACTTTGCCGAAATCGTCACCAAGGAGGCCCAGTCTTCGTTGGAGAAGTTCGAGGAGGTCGCTCGCTCCACATTGGTAGATGGAGCTTCTTGGAGTAACTACAAGCAAGAATTATCTTTGTATAAGAAAGAATTGGACGAGGTCAGTGCTCGACTGCGCCGCGATGAAATGAGACGGCTGGCCACCCGTGTCGAGCGGTGGGTTCAATCTCGTCTGGGTGAATCTGTGGGCCTTGAGTTCAATGCTCTCGGGTCTGGAAGAGCTGGCGGCGGTGCCCCCGAGAATGGAGAGAAGCCTACCGAGAAGGGCTTCTGGGATCGAATCTGGAACTTATTTGAAGAGACTGTTCTTGATGCTGAGCGGAGATTCACGGACCGTGCGAGCAGCTTCGATGCTAGCATTGATGAGGTCGATGTTGGCCTTTGGCGACTGCGTCGTAAGTCTTGGGGTGTTCTCCACGCCAAAATTGAAGAGGAGATGATCGAGGGCAACTTGCTTCTCAAGCTTCGGGAGAACTTTGAAGACAAGTTCCGCTATGACGAAGCCGGTGTGCCACGCATCTGGCGCCCAACCGATGACATTGAGGGCATTTACACCCGCGCTCGCGAGTCTACCTTGACACTGATTCCTCTTCTGTCTCGTTTCCGCCTGGAAAGAACTGGTGCCCCGCCTCCACTTGACCGATGGATTGGGCACACTCCAAGCACTGCAACATCTGCGGACGAGGAGGATCTGGCCCCCATCGGGGGTGTTGATGAACACGAGGGCAAGAGTTTGGAGGAAGAAATGACAATTCTTAGCGATACGAAGCGCCAAGAACTCACTGTACGATTTAAGAAAACCGCGGATGGCGTCTACGTAGAGGCCAAGCGGAGTGCCATCGGCGGTATGACACAGGTGCCCTTGTATTTCTACGGTTTGTTGCTGGCTCTCGGCTGGAACGAAATCTGGGCTGGTAAGTTTTCATTCATGGAATCTTTAATTTTTGCATGTATGCTAACGTTCCCTTCAGTCCTGCGCAACCCGGCTTACTTTATCCTCCTATTTGTGTGTGCCATTGCCGCATACATCACCTATCAGCTCAACCTGTGGGGTCCCATGCTGAAGATGACCGAGGCCGCCTCCCAGCAAGCTCTGGTAGAAGGCAAGCGCCGCCTACGCGAGTTCCTCGAATCCTCCGATACTGGCCGCCAGGCGATTGCTATGTCGGCCGGGGCGCATGCTGGGTCTTCGGGCCGAAAGGAAGAGTATGAATTGTCAGATATGCAAAAGGGTGGGTCAAATGCTAATGACGACCTGGATGACATGTAATCTGTTTGCTTGCTGTGCGTTTCTGGCGATCATCCTGTACTTTACTTTCTGTAGCTTCTATATGCATACAACATGAGTTTTTTTTACAACAATCTCTTTGGGTAGAACAGGAGATAGGAGAAGGATATACACCGAACTCATATCAAGGGCAAATATGGGAGACACAATGGACGATGAATATAGTCAGTGCGCGTCGGTTTATATATGTTCATAATGTACAAAATTGGCAAGTTCTTATCTGCGGGGGTCATACTCACGTCAAGGGACCGGACTTCCTCCGAGGTGAGGGGTATGGTCCGATATTACTCTAGCTTTTGAAGTTGTTTAATCTGCGTCTTCGATCACCACTACCCAGAACCATGTCTGGCATTCCCAATCTCCCAGAAACATTCGATGATCTCCCAGACAAGCGTCGGTTTTGGCCTGGGACCGCAGGGTCAGAAGAAGAAGGGCTGGGGATGCTCCGTCTTCTAACTCCCGAGCTAGTTGCTCATGCCGCGCAGACACAAATCCAAACCGGCGAGCGGGTATGCTTAAATTGGAACATGGAGAATCTGAGTCCACCAGGTAAAACCAGGGCACCTTACTGTCAAATAAAATAAAAAGCCACAAGACTCACAACTCGAGAAACCAGGGTTCGGCCGCAAACAATTTGAGCACCGTGTCAAATGGGTTGCTGAGGGTATCGCCTTCGACGACGAGTACCACTTCAACCCACAACAGTCCTCCCAGTGGGACGGCCTCCGACATCACAATGCGCCAGCCCCAATTCCAGAGGACCAAGACCGACGCCTCTTCTATGGTGGCACGACCGCAGAAGAAATTCTAGATGAGAACTCATCGCGGATTGGCATCGGATTTTGGGCAAAGAAGGGCATTGCTGGCCGCGGCGTGCTAATCGACTATGTCTCGTATGCGGAGAAGAAGGGCGTCAGCATAAATGCACTGAGTCAACAGATGATCTCATTGGATGAAGTGCAGGAAATCGCGCGCGAATGCAACATTAAATTCCAGAAGGGCGATATCTTTTTCTTGCGGGTTGGCTTGCCTGGGACGTGGGAGCGGATGTCCGCCGAAGATCGGATGACTTATAGTCAGCAGGGAATGCCGCGGCATGCTGGAATCGAACAAAGCGAGCGGGTGCTGCGGTTTATATGGGATAATCACTTTGCGGCTGTTGCCTCCGATGCTGTTAGCTTCGAGGTTTACCCGCCTCTGAACGCTGAGTTTGATTTGCATCATCATCTTCTGGCTGGGTGGGGTATTCCTATTGGAGAGATGTTTGACTTGGAGGAGCTGGCTGCAACGTGCAAGCGTTTAGGTCGTTGGAGTTTCTTTATCTCGAGTAGTCCGTTGAACTGCTCCCGGGGAGTGTCTAGTCCGCCTAACTGCATGGCTATTTTCTAGCTATCGATAATGAGAAGCATTCATCCAAGGTAATTTGAGTTTATCTACCTATATTTACTCATATTTTTATCAAAATATCTCATGTCTGATGCTTCAAGTTAGGAATATCGCAGGGGGAGGTGTATAGATTCTTGGAAGTAGATAGTCCAAAAATTCATTATGATGGACTGCGGACTTCTTTGAAACCAAGTGGAA